GTAATCCCAGCCCTCTAAGAGGCTGAGGCAGAAGGGTCTCAAGTCTGAGGCCAGCCTCCACCTTGCCTCAGAATAAAAATGAAATAATGGGGCTCGAGATACAGCTCAGTGGGAAGGCCCTAGGTTCAATCCCTGGTACCTCTCACATAACACAGAGGAAACAAAACAAGAAAAAAGGTTGGCTTCGCTCATAGTGATGGATGTCCAAACTCAAGGGATGCACCTGCTGGTGGGCTTTTGCTGGTGGCATTCCTAGGCAGTACAGGACATCACACATGAGGGACTAGGGCGTTGTGGGTGCTCTCTTTTTTGGGGTACTGGGGATGGAAGGAACCCAGGGTTCTCCCATGGAGCTGCACCCCAGCCTTTATTTATTATGTCTGTTTATTTTGAGACAGGATCTCCCTAAGTTGCTGAGTTGCCCAGGCGGGGCTCAAACTCATCCTCCTCCTGCCTCAGCCTCCAGGTAACCAGGATTATAAGTGGTCACCACCAGGTCTGGCTTTTCTCTGTCTGCTTTTAAAGCTGCATGGACTCAGTCATGGAGATTCTACCCTGAGCACCTGTCTTACCCTATCCGACCCCTTGTGGCTGTGCCTCAGAACGCCATGCTCCAGTGCCTTCTGTCCTCTTAGTGGGTCTTGCGGGGTTCAGGGCCAGCACGGGAACCCTTGAGGACGCACTGGAGCGCACTTCTAGCGTAATCTTGGTTGTGTAGCCAGGAAGGCCTCCTGTATGGGTCTCCTCAGTAGCTTTTGGTCTCTGCCAGTGATGTGGGAGACATAATGTAACCCCCAACCGGCTAGACGTCAGGTTTGCCAAGTTTGTGTGCCCCAAAGTTGAAGAATGATTTCTAAGGAACAGCAGAGGTTAAGAGCAGGAAAAACTTTATGGAGACCCGGAAGTGGGTTGCCAGCCAACAGAACAAGGAGGTGGGGACAAACGGGGTTAAAACTAGGATCAGCCAATAGGAGTGCAAGTAGAGCCGCCTAGGTAGTATTGGTCCAATGGGGAAGCGCGTTGCCCAGCAAGCGTCCCTGGACAGAACAGAGACCTCTGTAGGAAGGGGTGGGTCAGGGTGTCCTGTCACCCACCAGGGTGACTGAGGTCTCTGTAGACCTTACTGGACAGGTGATGCCAGACATGCTGTCCCCTGGGGGCCAGTAGGCCTGGTCACTCAGCTGTCTCTTAAGGCCTAGCTGCAGCCGTGCTGTGTTCTCGTCCGCCCTTGGCACTGACTCCCCGGAGCACCCAGCCCTGCCAGAAGCCTGTGACATCTGTACCTAGCATGGCTGTCCATGGTGCCATGGCCGGGGTCTGAGACAGCCTGGGGACCCTGTGGTATTGGGCAGGAGACTGAAATCTTTGCAGAGGCGCAGGAGCTGGGGTAATTGTGGAGGCGGTGACCCCAAGGAGCTGAGTCCTAGCTGGTGCCAGGGGCTGCACTTTCCTGGGTGTCACTAAAGGTGGCCCGAAGGCCCGGTTTGATCTGTCCCCTTCTCCCTCTGGACCTCGGACTCCCAGGTGTGTTTCAGGGAACCGTGGCCAGGTGATGGAATTAAGCTAAACTAAACAGGGTCGCTCTGTGTGGCTCTTGTCAGAGCCTTTAATATTCTCAATACTTTGCCCCGTTTTCCAAAACTTACTTGTGTCCTTTGACTTTCTTTCCCGCCTCGGAAGCATTTGTTTAGGGGGGGTTTCCTGGAAGAGATTCAGGAAAATGCTGCCTTAACCCGAAGGGGATGCTCGGAATAGTGGAATTTCAGGCAGCAATTCCTGGCCCAGCATCAAAGCTTTCCTCTTCTCCTCCCCCTCCCCTCCCCCCTCCCCATCACCCCCCCCCCACCTCGGCCCTGAGAACAAGGCTGTGCCCCGCAGCTCTCTGGGGGTGGCCCAGCGGGGTTGGAAATTTAGGACAGGCCAAATTAGGAACTCGAGTGGGGGTTGCACAGGGTCAGCCCTGGCAGGACTAGAGGCCGAGCTGGGGCGAGGGGGCCGATGGGTGGGGGTGGGGACAGGGGGACAGGTTTCTTGCAGAGTCTGCCTTTGGATCGAGTCCCTGGGACGCTGGGGGCTCCAGAGGCAGGCCTGTCTTCTGGGAAGGCTGCGGAGTCCCCTGGGACGGAGCCCGGGGTTAGCTCAGCGCAGAGGCATCTGACCGCGGCTCCACCCCTGTCCCCTCCGGGCTGGGGTCACCACGGAGGCCGCAGATAGGCCAGCGCTGCAGGAAGCCGCCTCAGCCCCTCCGGCCTCCGGTGCAGTTCCGCCTAGGGGGATTCAGAGGACGTGGTCAGCCAGGGCCCCTGCTCTTGTTTACTGCCGTGGGCTCCTTCGGAAAGACGCGGGAAAGCCGGGTGTGGAGGCACATGCCTGCCATCCCAGCGCTGGGGAGGATGAGGCTGGAGGATCGCAAGTTAGAACCCAGCCAGGGCGAGGCAGGGAGAGGAAAAACAAAAAGAGGCTGGGGACGGAGCTCATGGCAAAGGCCCTGGTTCCGATCCCCGAAACCGAAACCGAGTGAGGAGGGCGGGCGCACAGCAGAGGTACTGGCTGCCCCCCAGCAGCCTGCCACAGGGAATGGTGGTTATTATTGTAGTTGCTGACTTTATTTATTCAATTTTACTTTGGAGGGGTTACCGAGAATCGAACTCAGGACCTCATGCTTGCCAGGCAGGCACTGTGCCCTGAGCTAAATCCTCAGGCCCCTGTTGCTGCTGGTGACTGAAAAAGATGGCTGGGAGGGCACTGGGAGGGTTGTTATCATTGAGGGGGCTGAGATGGGTTGCCTGTCTCAGCCTCCTGCTCCACAGTCCCATGATATATGTCCCAGGCTGCACCCTTCCAGTCAGGGGAGCAGAGTCCCCTGGCAGGCAGGCAGGAAGGCAGGCAGGCAGGCAGGGTCCTGTTCCCGGCCGGCCGGACCCTTGGATGGGAGGAAGTGGGGGTTGGAAATGAGAAACCTTTTCTCTTTTCCCTGGGCATCACTGTTATTGTTCATTTCTATTTTTATCTCTTTGTTTTGTGTTTTTGAGACAGCGTCTTGCTATGTACTTCAGGCTGGCCTCAAACTCAGAGCAGTCCTCCTGCCTCAGCCTCTGGAGTGCTGGGATGACAGGCATGGGCCACCACGGCTGGCCACGTGGGTAACAGTGACCCCTGCCCCAACGAGTGTTCATAAAAGTTAGTGTGTGTAAAGTGCTGATGCTGACACGCTCTCTGGTGTGTGCCTCACACATCAGATGCCCGGTTCTCAGTGTGCCTGTGTATTAGGGGGTGCTCTGTGCTGCAGCTGAGCCTGGCGGCCATTTGTGGGTTGGCTGCTGTGAAAGACGCTAAAAAAACAATTCAACATGACCAAAGTACCACCGGGTGTTTGAAAGCCCCGCTAAGCGTGCCGCCTTCTGGCTGGGGCCAGTGCTTCTGCGGAACAGATGTTACCCAGATGTCAACCAGGGTCAACAGAGCCTCGGAGGTTTGGCGCCTGCCTCTCTCCCACGACCTGCAGGGAGCCAGGCGCCCTCCCGGAGCTGTCTGAGAGTTCCCAGGACCTCTGATCTCATGCTCGCCTCTTGGCTGGAGTTCTGGCCAGTGCACGCCGGGGCTGGGGCTCACCCACCTTCTTGGGGCAAGGGGGTGACCAGGTCCTTGCTTTCTCCCAGATCAGCGTGCAATGGCTGGCAGCCCCCCTCGGCCCCTCGGGACGCAGTGCCATCTCTGCGGTGCTGCGGCTCCGAGGCTTTGGACATTGGTGAGCTTCTGTGTAAGACGTTGCTGGACAAAGAATTCCCACGCAGGCGGGAAGAATGTGCACACTCCTTGCACAACACGGCGGGGTGTTATGACTGGCTGAAAGGGAGCCAGGCTGTCGTGAGAAGTGAAAGCTCACAGAGGACGCCCAAGTCAGCAGCTGTGAGTGGCAGGGGCGCTTCTGCTGGCCAGTGGGCTGGACGGTCGTGGAGGGCCAGGTGCTGGCTCAGGACCCAGGTTAGGACTGGCCCGAGAGGTGGAGGTTCAGCGACAGTGGTGGGTCCCAGGCAGACCTCGAGGGACCAGACACAGCCGTGTTAAGCCACGCTCTGGAAAACAGCCCATGCTGCCAGGAGGATGCACTGCTGAGTGTTCTCCCCATTCCTATGATCACCCACTGCTTTCTCGAGGAGTGGACAGGCAGGGATCAGAGGTCTCAGTCCACGGTCGCTGGTTGTGAGGCTGAGACACAATGGTGGAAGGGTTTGGTGGAGGGCAGCTGGCTCATCTTATGGAGGCCAGGAAGCATCAGAGGAGCCAGGGCAGGGGCAGAGAGAGGGAAAGGGAGTAATGGAGAGGGGGGAGAAGGGAGGGAGAGAGGAGGAGGAGGAGGAGGAGGTGGTGGAGGAGGAGGAGGAGGAGCAGGAGGAGCAGGAGGAACAGGAGGAGGAGGAGGTGGAGGAGGAGGAGGTGGAGGAGGAGGAGGTGGAGGAGGAGGAGGAGGTGGAGGAGGAGGAGGTGGAGCAGGAGGAGGTGGAGCAGGAGGAGGTGGAGGAGGAGGAGGTGGAGTAGGAGGAAGAGGTGGAGGAGGAGGAGGTGGAGGAGGAGGAGGAGTAGGAGGAGGAGGTGGAGGAGGAGGAGGAGGAGGAGGAGAAGGTGGAGGAGGAGGAGAAGGTGGAGGAGGAGGAGGTGGAGGAGGAGGAGGTGGAGGAGGAGGAGGTGGAGGAGGAGGAGGTGGAGGAGGAGGAGGTGGAGGAGGAGGTGGAGGAGGAGGAGGTGGAGCAGGAGGAGGTGGAGCAGGAGGAGGTGGAGGAGGAGGAGGAGGAGTAGGAGGAAGAGGTGGAGGAGGAGGAGGTGGAGGAGGAGGAGGAGTAGGAGGAGGAGGTGGAGGAGGAGGAGGAGGAGGAGGAGAAGGTGGAGGAGGAGGAGAAGGTGGAGGAGGAGAAGGTGGAGGAGGAGGAGGTGGAGGAGGAGGAGGTGGAGGAGGAGGAGGGGAGAGAGAGAGAGAGAGAGAGAGAGAGAGAGAGAGAGAGAAGGAGCTGGTGATAGGTTATAGGTTATAAGACACAGCCCAGGGACCTACTTCCCCCAATGCACTCCACCTCCCAATAGTCCAGCAGTTACAAACTCCCCAGTAGATTACCATAGCGCAGATTTTCCCCACCGCCACCCAGTCACCGCCCACAAAGCTCTGAACACGTGAGACCTTTCAGGGACAGTTTAGATCATAACCATCAACATTTCTCTCGGTGTCTGTAGCCCTGTCTTCGCAGTATTGTGAGTGAACACGAACAGAGGCTTCCACCTGGGTGACCCTTGAAAAGCACATTGCCTAGTATTTCTCTTTTCTTTTTTGAAGTGTGTGTGGGGGGCTGGAACCCAGGACCCTGCGTGTGCCAGGCAAGTGCTATACTACTGAGCCACACCTCCAGCTCTTTGCCCAGTGTTACCGTTTGATGGGAACCCAGGGGATGGTACCCAGAGCCTCCACACTGAGCCTCATCCCCAGCCCCTTTTTCAGTTTTGACTTTGAGACCAGGTCTTGATGAATCACTAAGTTACTCCAAGCTGAGCTCCAACTTATGATTCTCCTGCCTCGGCCTCTCAGAGTGCTGGGATGAAAGTTGTGTATCATTGCGGCTGCCTTGCCTAGTATTTTATTTTAGTTTTTGGTTTATTTTAGTTTTAGTTTATTTGAGTTTTGGAACTCAGGACCTCGTACTTACCAGGCAGGCAATATACCCCTGACCTATATCCCCAGCCTTTGCCTAGTATTTTTAAACTTGTCAGGACCACAGGCTTATGAGGGACTCCAACTACATCTAAAAGCCACCCGTACCTCTCACATACAATATTTCCTCCAAAGTTTCTGCAGACAGGAACTTGATACACACTGACTCCCAAACCTTATCTGTGGAGCCATTCATTCCGAGTTAAGAACTTGGGGCTGTTTGGTTCTATCCTTTTATGCACGAGAAAACACAGACACAAATGCATCAAGCCTCTGCTCAGGGTCACACAGATAACCAGAAACCGAGCTGGTGTCAGAGCCATATGGGTGATCGATCACCTAAGTTAGGACTGAATGCAAACCAGGGGCCCACCCCTTGCTAGCCTGGCCATAAGGGCAAGAAACAGAATCTCCCTGTGCCCACTTAGTGAGACTCCGTCTCAAAATAAAAAGAATCCAGGAAAAGATTGGGATGTAGCTGGGTGCGGTGCATCTCCATGCTCCTTTGTCTTTTTCCTCCTCCTCCTCCTCCTCTTTCTCTCCTTTTTGATGTTCAGCCGGAATGATCTGAGGGTTTAGCCTGCAGCCTAAGTGCAAGTCCCAATCAAAGAACTCCTGCCACCTAGTGGTCCCGTGGGGAATAATGTCGAATTTGTGGCTTTGTTTCTATCTGGTGACTTCATGAGGTTTCAAATTTACTATGGTGCAAAAGCCATGGGCATTCAGTAGAGGCTGCACTTGGAATTTTTACCTTCTTTAGAAACAGTTATATACAGTACAAAACTCTCTACATCCAACATTAGGTTCATGTGAGTATTCTGAGCACATTTATGGCAGGCTTGCTAAGCGTAGATGTGTTGAATGCATTTTTTTTTTTCTCAAACCCAGAGTCTTGCATATGCCAGGCAAGTCTCTACCACTGAGTTACAGCCGCAGCTCTAAATGATGCATGGTGTGTGTGTGATGCTGTGATGGGAATCAGGGCTGCTAAGCAAGTGGCTTAGCACTGAGCAACACCCCAGCCTTTTTTATATTTTTGTTTTTAGACAAGGTCTTAGTAAATTGCCCAAGCTGGCCTCTAACTTGTGATGCTCCTGAGCTTGTGAGTCTTCTGAGCTGCTGGAATTACACCTCCACACCTGGCTCTAAATGTATTTCAACTTAGGTTGTTTTCAATTTATGACAGATTGATGTCATAAATTGCATGTAGCCCCATTATAAACTTAGAATTATCTCTCTGTAGTGACTATGCTAGAACCCTTGCCTGAGTGGTATTTCCTGGGGGATTAGTGGCTGATCTTGGGCAACATTGCATATTTCTTTTCAAAGAGTTTGTTTGAACATTGTATCACTTTTTTTGGTGGGTAACAAAGTATCCTAAAATGCTGGATATCTAAAATATATCCTAAAATGTAGCAACTTGAACAAAATGTAGCAATGTATCCAAAGTGTCCTAAAATGTAGCAGCTTGGAACAATAGTCACTAACTCTCCAATCTGTGGGTTAGCAAGCTGGGCTGAGCTCAGCAGGATGGTTCTTTGGTTGTTGGTCTTTCTCAGCTTTCTCCTGCACTGTAATTAGTTGATAGGCTGGCTGGGGCAGGATGATCCTAAATGGCTTCATTCATTTGCCTGGCAGATGGCTGGCATGTCTTCATCCCCCTGTGTAGTTTCTCCAGAAGGCCATCCTGAGTTCATTTGCTTGATTGTTGTAGAGTTGCGAGGAAAAGCAGAATAGGAAGCCTCAAAGGACAAGCATTCATGCCATGGCTACTGAATGCCTCATTGTCTGGCTCAAGTCACATGATCAAATCCAGACTGTGTTTTTTCAATATCAAGAACTTTTCCATTGCCAAGACACAATACCTGACACTCGTAGCTTAAAGGAGCAAGAGTTTATTTTGGCTCACGCTGTCAGTCCGTGCTTGGCTGGCTCCCAGGCAGAAACAAGATGATGGGAGGGTGTGGCGGAGGAAGGTTGCTTAACTCATGGCAGGAAGCAAACAGCCAGGGAAGACTCAGGGCAAGATGAAAACATCCTCCAGAATGCATGCCCATCGGGCCCAGCTTCTCTCAGCATTCTGGGCTGGGAAGTCATTCATGGGTTGATGCATTGATGATGCCAGTGTCTCCATGATCCTGTCCTCTTTTGAAAGCTCTGAACATACGAGACTTTTAGGGGCACATTTTAGATCTAGACCATAATTAATACAAGGCAGCCTTACGAACACTTTCATCTTGGACTTCTCAGTCTCTAGAAAGATCAGAAGATCCTTTTTGTTATTGTTAAGCCATGTAGCCTATGGTATTTTATTATGGCAATTACAGCAGATGGATAAAGACCTCTTTCTCTCTCTTTCTTTTGTAGCACTAGGGATGGAACCCAGGGCCTTGCACATGTGCAGCAGGTGCAGTATCACTGAGCCACAGCCCTGGCCCAGCTGATCAGTGCAGATTTTATCATTAAAGAGTTTACCCTCCGGGCTGGCTCACTGGTCTCATTATGAAAACTGACTCTCTGTAGTATATGAGGCATTTGCTTTTCTTTGTTGTGGGGTTCTCTTCTTCAAGCTTCTGTACTCCTCCCTCCTCCTTCCCTTCCTCCCTCACACCCCGTTTCTCCATATTTCACCCTCTTTATGGGTTAAGCAGACTTCTGGGGCCAGCCTGGGAACTAGGTCGTGTTTCCCTGTGTCGCTGTCTGTATAACGTCCTGCTCAGGAGAGGGTGGGTTGGTTGTCACCACCTTTTCTTGTCACACCAGGCCCTTCCTAAGGTAATTTAGGAATGGGTTCTCTGTTCTTCAGCATACGAAGGGAACCACTGGCATGGCAAGCACATCTGTCTTGTCCACTACTTGCTTCCTGTGTGTGGCCGACACTCAGTATTGTCCAGAGAATGAAATGAACATCTCTGGCCTGGACTCAGGGCTGCCTGGTGGCTGAGTTCTCTGAGGGTGTCACCGTCTCGCTGGTGATGACCCATGACCCACCACAGGCTGGCCTCCCCACTTCTGAGCACATCCTCCCAATGATGATGGGTCAGCTGCCCACTCACATGTGTTCTCCGGGTGGCGCCATCTGTCTTCCTTGTTGGGAAGCTGCACTTTGGCCTGCACTCAGCTCCTAATCATTCCTCAGAGCGGGGGACAATTTGAGTGACTCCCCTTGAATGCAGAACAATTACTGCAACTTTGATTATATCCAGACTGATTTTCATATACTGATACGTACAGAGCTGACTATGGTATTTTCTTCTCTCTTCAGTGGGCTCTAAGCATTGCAAATAAGGCTAGCCGAGGCACTGGTGTGTGATCTCTAAAGCCCTCAGACAGTCTGCTGTTTCCTTGCATAGAGTTCTCTATAGTAGATATGGGGATGGTAGAGCCAGTCAGCTCCAGGAGTGTTCACTGGGTATGAGCCTCAAGGTAAAGGGGCTATGACTCCCCAGGGCACAAAAGTTTACAGATCAGAAACTGAAGCAACAGCCTCCAAAAACAATTCAGTTGCTACCTTAATTGAGTAATGCAAATTGATCCTTCTGTATATCCTTATGTCTGCATTTTGCAGAGATGCTTTTCTCCCCACCTGGCCAGCCAGCTCACGTTACCATGTAATTCCCGCCATCCTCACGGTCACTCATCCCTGAGCCACCCCCCTTCTTCACAAGATAATAAGTTCTGGGAGAGGCCTCGGATCAGGGCCTTTGTCCGCACAGCCTCACGGGGGCTGGCCTCAGGACCCCTTGGCTGCCCTTCACTTGGAACATGTCTTGGTGTCTTCACTCTCGCAGTGGGCTGCATTGGAGGTGGGAGGTTGGAATTAACTCGCTGGGATTCCAATAACATCTCAGTGGGATTACAAATACAACTTTTTGGATTGTGAGGAAGACTAGAAAAAGGATCAGGATACTTGGATAACTGTACCCAATATTTGGGGTTACAGTACCTCAGGGCTGTCTTTTTTTTTTTTTAATTTTATTTAAGGAGGAAAAAAAAGCAGAGAAAGGGTACAAGTTATACAGATTTACAGAAAAAAAATTAACAGTAGGAAATCACTAGTTAATGGATTACATATTGTCATCTTAGAAATAATTGTTCAAGTCACAAAATTAAAGCTTGTAAAGTGGACATTCCCACAGTGAGACTGCAAACAGTTCTGTTCAATGATCCAATAAAACTCAGTGATATCATTTTCTATCTTATACACTTAAATATACATGCAGTTAAATCATTTAGAGCACTTTCTTTTCCTCTCTTTTGTACAATGACAATTACACATTTTGGGTTTTGTTGCTCCCACAGTGCTTATTACATTTTTTGGAAGAGAGTAGAACCAAATGTGACGTAACAGAACAGAGTCAGTCAAATCAAAAGGGTGGACATAATAGATAATGTAAAAGCATAATACAAGGTGATCAACAATAGTTACCATAATGCCTCCCACTATCTCTAATAGAATTGCCTATATCATCAGTTATAATAAAATTGAACAAAACAGTAAAGAACAAAACCGACAAAACCAAAACATTAGAGACATTGTAGGTCTTCAAAAGTAGATAAAAGTCATCGAAAATGGGCGTCATAATGAATCTCACTATCTTCACAGCTGTTGGCTAAACTTTCGAACCTGGTAAGGGCTGTCTTGCTGGCATTGCCAACTGGCTTTGCAGTGGGGTGTGTAGGGATAGGTTTCTCACTCTCAGTTGGTCTGTTTACTTGAGGCTGGTGGAGTGGGGGGTCAGGTGTGTGTGTGTGTGTGTGTGTGCACGCGTAGAGGAGGAGAGAGAGCGCACAGACATAAGGATATGCAGAAGGATCAATTCTACATTGATGGTAGAAATGTAAACTAGTACAGAAATCAGTGTGGAGATTCCCCAAAAACCGACACTAGACCATTCAACCCAGCTATTTCGCTTCTAGTTAAAAGTCGTCATTCACAGCAATCCATGTGCCCCATGTTTATGGTAGTACCACGCGTAGTAGCTAGATCTGTTTTTTTTTTTTTTTTTTGTCTTTTTCTTTTTTATCGGTACTGGGGATCGAACTCATGACTGCCTGCTTGCAAGGCAGGTGCTTATGCCGCTGAGCTAAATCCCCAGCCCCAGTAGCTAGCTCTTACATCTGTTCATCAGCAGATGAACGGATGAGGAAAACGTGGCATTTACATCCTTCTTCACCGTACGGAGTTCTACTCGCCATAAGGATAGAGTTGAGTCATCTGTGGGAAAATGGGTGCACCTCGAGACTATAATATTAAATGAAATAAATCAGACGCACAAGCTTAAATATCACCTGGTTTCTCGTACATGAGAAACCCAAAATACAAAGGAAGGGCAGAATAAAAATAGATAATAGGCCAGTGTGGTAGTGCACACCTGTCATCCCAGCACTCGGGAGGCTGAGGCAGGAGGATCACTGTGAGTTTGAGACAAGCCTGGGCTACAAAGTGAGCTCAAGGCCAGCCTGAACTGCGTAGAGACCTTGTCTCAGAAAGACCAGAAAACAACCATCGGAGGTAAGAAGACAGGGCTTTCTCAAGGGGTAACCAACGGGTCAAGAGAGGGAGAGAGGGGAGAGTAAGGGGATGCACAGGCGTGAAGGTGTGGCATGCGCATGCGCCAGCTCCACGCAAGGCGGGCACGCGTCGTGTGCACACATATGCAAACGTGTACGCATAGAAACAAAAAGCGCAGCGGCGGTTTGCATACCAGTAACGCAGTTCACCAGCAGCCCATTGGAACCCGGATCTTCGCGAGTCTTCGGAACCGACGGAGGCTGCAGTTCCCACCGCGACCACGAGGGGCAGCTGTTCCGAATCGGGGCGCCTCGAGCGCTCCCCCACCCCCCTAGCGCGCGAACCTCGGGTCCGGGTGCTGGGGCGCTGCTGCGGGCGGGCGCCCCCTCTCCGGCTGCTCCGGCTCCTCCCGCATCCTCACGGCCCGTCTCACGCCCGCGGTCGGCCCACCCACCCCCGGAGCAGCTCTGACCTCTCCGTGCCCTGCTCCGGGGGTGCGCGCGGACCCCTTTTCCCCGCCCTGGCAGCTGCACTAACTGCTGCCCGCTCGGAAGGCCGAGGCTTCTCTCTGGTTCTGTGCCTCAGTTTCCCCTGCAGTGTGGGCCTCACCGAGGGAGGGCATGTCCAGGGCACGGGGTTAAAGACCGGGGACGGCCCCGGGGAGCCATCGAGGGTGCTTGAGCGGGAGCACGGCCTCCGCCGTGAGGAGGGATGGGGTCCCCACTTTCTTTGCGCCCCGGGCTTGTTCCAGTCCGGGCTTGTTGCAGCCGGACTGCTCGTCGGGGAGGCGCGGGTGGCCCCGCCACCAGCCGTACTCCTTCCTGCGTGCCCGCCTGGGTGGGGCGTCTGCTCCGGGACCTCCCTCGGACGCCAGGTGGGGACGCCCTGGCAGGAAGCCTGCGGCCCGTGTCACCTTCGCGGAAGTGCCGGTGCCCCCCGCCCCCGCCGTGCTGGAGTCGCCGGCTGGGGACGCAGCAGCAGCGCAGCGCAGCGGAGGGGACCCGGCTGCAGGTAGAAGGGGACCCCGCGACCCGCTGCGCCCTAGCGCTTGGCTTTGGTTGTGGTGGCGGGAATTAGTGATGCGTGCGGAGCCCGGTGACTCCAGAGCTCCCGGCTGGTGATCTGCACACGCGGCGATCGCGCTCGGGCCGCGCTCAGCGCCTCTCGCCTTGCCCGGCGACCCTACCCCGTTCCTTTTTGCTCTTCTAATGGTCTCGTCCTCCTTTTCGTCTTTTTATTCTTTCGATTCCGCCTGTGAGGGAAGATAGGGACATCTGTCGCCCCAGCCTCAGCCTGGCTTATTCTATGTCACGCCATCTCCGGTTCCATCCGGCTTCCTCCGAGTTGAGAGGGATTTTGTTCCTTTTCACAGCCAAATAGTACTCCACCGCGGACACAGACCACCTGTTGGAGGTGTCAGGCTGGGCCCAGGCTGAGCTGTGTTAGGAGGGGCTGAGGCCCCCCTTCTTGTGCTTTTCTCCTCGTCTCCTCCCGGAGACTGGGCCCCACTTCCGCGCTTTGCCTCCCTCCCCGTCTCCCTCTTTCCCTCATGCTGGGTGGGGGGCGTTGAGACTGCGGACTTTGCACTGAGCTGCACAGCCCTTCCCTTACTTTTTATTTTGAGATAGGGTTCCGCTCGGTTCCCCGGCTGTGCTGGAATTTGTGATCCTCCTGCCTCAGCCTCGCAGAGTGCTGGGATTACCGGTGGCCCCTCCTGTCCTGCCTCTGGGCCTCTCCCATGGGCATAGCCCCCAACCCAGCCCAGTGTTGTGGGATGTTCACCAGCCCCAGCCCGGGCACTACGGGAACCACTCTGAGGAGAACGAAGTGCCCTGGGCTGCGGCCCCACCTGGGGTCTTGTTCTGGGGAGCAGCTGCCCTGAGACTCGCTGGCCCGTGTGCCCAGGGCTGACTCTGGAGTCCACTTGCTGCTGAGATTGAGGGCCCCTCTGGTTTCTTCCATGCCGGGTCCTCGGGACTTGGGGGGTTTCAGTTTGTGTATTTCCTGGACTTGGGAGTCTGTGCTGTGGGTTGAGGGATATCTTCAGGGGTGGAACTAAGCTGGGACAACATGGTGGCAGCACACGCCTGTCATGCCGGCAGCACTCAGGAGGCTGAGGCAGGAGGATTGCCTGGGTTAGAGTGCGGCCCTGTCTCAAAAACAATGAAACGATGAAGAAAAACAAAACAAAACAGGAAGTGCACTTGCATTTCATGTATACCTTGTACACGCGGCCTGTAGGTAAACATACACAGTTTTGAGAATTTTGTGCTGTGAGGCTGATGCTTTCTGTTTTTGGTCTCGACTTTGTGACTGGGGTTTCAGATTTATCGGCTCTTTGGGTTTTGGGCCGGTGCTCAGTCTGAGGCTTCAGGGGCTCGGCTGGTCACCTCCTCTGGGCGGCTGTGTGGTTCTTGCTCTTGGGGACCTGGGCTGATGTGGACTCCCGGGGTGGGGTGCTGGGGTCTGGGTGACTGCTGGGAGGACCTGGGGATCACGAAGGGTGGGGTGATCGCAGCCCTCTGGCTGTTGTTTGGTGGAGTCTGAGAGCTGTGTTTGGAACTGAAATCAATCACTGCCAGGCTCAGCCTATTTGCCTCTCAATCTCTCCCCTTCCCCTCCCCTCCCCTCCCCCCTCCTCCCTTCCCTCTTTTTCCCCCTTCTCCCCCTTCTCATCCTTTTTCTCCTATGCCTCTCCCGCCTCTCCTCCTCCTCTCTCTCTCCCCCTCCCTCCCTCTCTTGCTCTGTCCTCTCACTCTGTGGTCAGCACTGGTTTCCCAAAACTGTGAGCTGCAGCTAGAGGGGGCTTGGCAGGCATCTTGTGTGGGTGTAGGGATTCTTTTCTTGGGCAAACATAGAGGGCTTTGCTTGTCTGGAGAGGGGGACAGCCATGCAGATATCTCTGGGAAGGGTGATCCTGGCAGAGGGAGCCAGAAGTGCAAAGGCCCTGGGGCAGGACCATGCCTGGCACGATGGTAATGCAGCTGGAGCCCTTGTGGCTGGAACAGAGAGTGGGGTGGGGGGCAGCATTCCAGGCCTACCCAGGACACCTGTCGTTGTAGCCTAGAATCAGTTATGGGGCTCTTCTAAAGTAGAGCTTTTGATTTTTTGTTTTTTGAGAAAGGGTCTCCCTACGCAGTCCAGGCTGGTCTTGAATTCACTGTGTAGCCTGGGCTGGCCTCAAACTGGCAACAGCTCTCCTCCCTCAGCCTCCTGAGTGCTGGGATTACAGGTGTGCCTCACAACAACTGGCTTTGGTCTTTTTTTAGCTATGATATGTGGTTCAGGCCGGCCTTGAACTTGCACTGATCCTCCTGTCTCTGCCTCTCCAGTGCTGGGATGACAGGTGTGCACTCCACAGCCAGCTAAAGCAGGGCTACTTGATTTGCTGGGGTGCTGTGCCCTGTGGTGCAGTGAAACTGACAGCAGCCTGGTCTCTGCTCCGTAGCTGGCTGTTGGACCCCAAGCTGTGCACAGCAGGTGGCTCTCTGTTCGGTACCTGTCATGTGCTGGGCTTTGCACCAGGGCCGCACCAGGGAAATGAAAACCCAGGGGCAGACATTACCAACTGCTAGCTAGTGCTAAGAAGGGGCACTTGTACTCAGTAAGCCCAGCGAGGTGCTCTTGATCTGTCTGGGGATGACAACAGGGGCCTCCCAGGGATCAAGGGCTGGGAATGGAGCGCAGGTGAGGAGGTAGGGGGTGCATCATAGGCTGCAGAACTGCATGTGCAAAGGCCCTGCGGTGAGCGGATGGTAGGCAAGGCTGGTGTGCGTGGCTTGAGGCCAGGAGGAACCTGGTCTGACCCTAGGGCCCCTTGGGTGGGGCAGGGGTGAGGCTGAGGGTTGAAGCAGGGAAGTGGCATCATCTGATGGCATGATTCGAAGATCCCCTGGGCAGATTAATATCTGTGATTTGGGGCCCTGCCAGGCACCCAGCAAGGCTTTTGATGACACCAGTGGGTGTTTTGGGGACATAGGAGGGGCATGGGGTCCCCGCAGGGGGGGGAGCGGCTTCCGTTTCTCTGGCATTTCATGGGACAAAAGTGTCAGAGTGAGGTGTCTCTGTGGGGGGCTTAGTTTTGAAGGCAGGGGAGGCACCGCTGCCCCAGGGAGGAGTGGGGGTGTGTGTGGGGAGCTCCCTGGGCCCATTTCACAGGAGGGAGATGAGGCCCCACGGCTATGAGGGGCTGAACCCCAGCCATGGTGTCGCCCACCTGGCCCACCCCAAAGGAGGCTCCAGAAGAGGCCTGTCTTGGGGGCACGTTGAGAATTCCACAGCACTGCTGACGTTCATTCATTCACTCAGCAAACAGCAGATGCCTACTGTGCTTGCCACAGTGCAAGGGGGCCCCTCAGGGCTGGCATTCTCACGGCAGACTGGGCACACTGAGCAACTTTCTCACCCACTTGTTTTCTCCAGTACTGAGGATTGAACGCAGGGCGTTCACACTGAGCTACTCTCTCAGCCCTGTTCACCTTTTATTTTGAGTCAGGGTCCCAGCTGAACTCCTGAGAGTAGCCGGGATCCCAGGGCCCTGCCGCCTGCCTCCGGCCACTGTTTTCAGGCAGCATAATTCCCCACCCTGCGCCGGGGTCCCTACCCTTCATCTGGCCAGGGATGGAAGCACTGTGCATCCGCGTCTTGGTCAGGGAGAGTGAAGCACGTGGCCCGGAGTTTCTCTGGCACACTGATTTCAGTACAGATGTGAGCAGCGGTTTTGTGGTTTTTGTTTTTTTCCCCCTGAGTCTTTGTTTTGAAGGATTTGTGAACTAGTCTGTGTGACAGTTAACATCAATCAGCTCGATTGTTTCGTGCTGTGAATCTAATCAAAGAACTCCATTTTCCCAGGTCAATATGTACAATTATTCTTTGTCAGTTAAAAATAAAATTAAGAAAATCTAAAAAGAAAGTTGTGAGTACCCCAAATAACCACAAAGCAAGAGAGGAGGATGTGCAAGGCATGAGTGTGTGACCACTCTGCCTGGAGGAGGAAAGGGGGACTGCCCGGGGGTTTTGGGGAATAGCCTTCAGTAGAGGAATGGCCGGGCCAGCTGTGCAAAGGCCCTGGGGCAGAGCTGGCCCAGGTGTGTGTGTGTGTGGAGTGAAGGATGGGTGAGGAGTTGTGCGAGGTCCTGACAGGCAAGGAAGATTGTCGAGGGGGTGGAAAGAGTTTAGATTTTTCTTTGGGAAGCTGTTAGTTTCCAGATGTTGGCTTTGATATGGGGGTGGAAAGAGAAAGTTGAGGTGACCCTGGTGTTTGGAGCTCAGCATTGATGGACAGACCTGTGAATGTCCCCTGAGCTTGAGCTGTGGGTGAGGAACCAGGGCAGCAGGGCAGCCGGGCCCCAGGGAAGAGGCAGGACCTTGAGGTGTCTTTTTTGGGTGGGATCATCCCCATGTGGGCTGGAGGGAAGGAGAAAAGCAGAGTCTCAGAGACTCAAAACCAGGAGCTGAGACAAAAAGTTGTTTGGAGAGGAGCGTGTTTGGACCCAGGGCCATGACGCTGAGCTACATCCCGACTTCTCAATTATTTTAAATTTCAAGACAGGATCTCATGAAGTTACCAAGTGGCCCAGGCTGGACTGGAACTTGTGATTGTCCTGCCTCAGCCTCCCAGAGTGCTGCGGTGATGGGTGCGTACCACCCCGTGACTCTGGGGGCTGAAAATTGAATGCTGGGAGTGAACGTCATCCCACAGGAGCTTCAGGGGGTGAATCTCTATCGGTGGCAAATCGGTCCATCTGAGCAGGCCCCACAGCCCTGGGCACCTCTGTGGAGCCCTCGGGGTTCAGCAACCAATCACCAGGCTAAATTCACAGACTGAACTCACACCTCCCTTACCTGGCCAACCTTCTATCTTTAGTGTACTGTTTTTCCTTCTCCTTTTAGGTAGGAAACGTATCGATTTTTAGTTTCCAGCTTATGTGTCCACCCGCAGATGGATGGATAAAGAGAATGTGGTGTTTACTCACCCTGGAGTACTACTCGGCCACCAAGAAGGATTAGCT